CCTCAGCCAGTTTAGAAAATAACGATAATAAGGACAATAATACATACATAAGGTAACTGGCACATGGTTGGCACTCAAAAAATGGTGGTTATTAATATTAGGGTTATTATTAGAAGGAAAGAAATGGGTTGGAAAGGAATGCTTTAATTTTGTTAGTGTAGAACCTAAGAGGGCCCACTGGGTTTCCTCAGAATTATTTTGGAAAGCAGTATTGATTTCCTACCCTATATTCCTCACAGTGGCTGTCCTGAGAGCCCATCGTTGTCTCTTGGCCTCTAATCCCATCATAATGCATATCAACATGCACCATTGACTGTCCACCTTTTCAGTATAATTACTGCTTCTCTTTTTTGTGTTATGAGATATTTAACACACACAAATGAATATCTATATCTATATCTATATCTATATCTGTATCTATATCTATCTATATATAATTTTATATTGGGTATAAAGAAAATTGTTATGGACATCCATACAACTACCCTGAAGCTTAAGAAACAAACATTTTAAACCCTACTGAAGCTTCCTGTGTACCACTTCCACATTCATTATGTTCCCTCTGACCCCACAGTGGCCAATGTTACTCTGAATTTTCTTTTTATCATTTCTATTGTTTCTGTTATAATTTTATCACATATGTGTGAATACTTATTGTCAGTGCTTTTAAGCATTATAGGAATGGTATTATACTGCCTGTTTTCTCTACTGCAAGTTGCTTTTCTCACTCACTATTATGTTTGTGCAATTCATCCATATTGATGCATGTAGCTATAGATCATCCATTCTCATTGAAATAGTATTTCATAAAATGAAAATAACAATTTATTCTTCCTTTGATGGCCATTTGTATTGTTTCCTGCTAATGGATACTCTTAAAACATGTCTCTTCATATACATGTGCATATCTCTTCATATACATATATTATCCTTGATATATACCTACGAGAGAAACTGCTTAGTTTTCATGTACGTTTACCTTGAACTTTTCAAGAAAATTCCTCACTGATTTTAAAAAAAACCTAAATTAATAACCCCACCAGAACACCATTTTCCCCTTGCTCCACATCCTCACTAGACCTAAGTATTGTTAGACTTTAAAAGTTTTGCTAGTCACAATAAAAAATCCTGTATCTCATTGTGGTATTAATGTTTCCCTTTTTACTAATGAGGGTGGGAATCTTTTGACATTTATGGGGCATTCATTCTTATTATTTGGTGAAATGTCTGTTAATGTTTTTTGCCTGCTTTTCTACTGGCTTGTTTGAAGTGACCCTCTCATCTTCAGTAACACTTTTTGCCCTAAAGTTGATTTAGCAATAGCACAGTATAGCTTTTTCCTCTCTGTTACACTATGTTTTAGATTAATAATGCCCTGCAAGAAACTAAATATCATGGCCTTTTTCTACTCATCTTTTTAAGTGTCTCAGTAGCAGCCAGCATTCTTTGACACCAATACACTCTATTCCTTGAAGCCTTGAAATCTTTGCATTTCTCTCTCAATTTATATACAGGTATTGCCCAATAATATACTATAAGACTTCCTTTGCAGCATATTTCATATTCAATATTTTGTCGCAGGACACAGTCCTAGTTAAGGACCTCATTATCTCTTAACTAAATTATTACAAAACTGTCTGCCTGGTCTCTATTCCCAGCGCAATCCTTACTAAAGCAGTTTTTTTTTTCTCAACTCAGTCTTCTTAGCCCTGGTTTTCATTTGAATCACCTGAGCTGCTTTGAAAAGGTGCTTTAAAATGTTAATATCTAGGTCTCATCCCCAGGTTTGTGGATTTAATGGATATGGTGGGGGGTTTTGTGCATAAGTTTTTTTTAAGTTCCCCAGGTGATTCTAATATACAGCCATGATTGTGAACTCTGGTTCCAATCTCATGGTTCTCACACTTTAGAACACATCAGAATCCCCTGGAGGGCTTAATCAAACAGACTGCTGGGATCCACCTGTCAGTTTCTAATCCAGTGAGTCTGCAACAGGCCTGTAATTCTAACAAACTCTCAGGTGATTATGATGATATCAGGGACCAGCTCTATTTCTATAGTTATTGTCAAGTGTTCCTAAACAAGAGGTCTCATAATACCACTCCTCTGCACTAAAATTTTTAAGGGCTACCTATGAGCTATAAAAATAAGTACAGACCACTCATCCTGGCCTTCAAAGCTCTTTACCATCTGGTTGCATATTCCCATCTTGCTATATTTCCCATTACCTCTCTGTACCAACCAAATTGGACTACTGACTCTTCTTTAAAAACACCCAGTACTCTCTTGCCTTCATATATTTGCTCATATTATTATCCTGGCTCATGCTGCCATCCTCATTTGTTCATCTGTTAAAATTCCATCCATCCTTCAAGGTTTATCTCATATACCTCCCTCAATGATATTTTCTTGCACACATACAATTTTCACATCCCCAACTGCATCTCCCCAAAACATTTTTACTATCCACAAGCTGCCCTATATAATTTGCCTCATATTATACTTATATGTCTTCATGGCTCCTCCAAACTATCCAACCAAATTGTACATTTTTACATGCCTTGAAGGCAAGAAATACTGTGTGTGTGTGTGTGTGTGTTATCTTATAGACTTGCTTATCAAAGTTTGGTTCAAAGCCCAGGAGTATTAACTGTCACCTGAGTACTCATTAGGGTTGTAAAATCATAGGTCCACATCCTAGAACTATTGAATCAGAATCTGCATTTAAGGATCTACAGGTACAGTGGGGTCTTGACTTACGAGTTTAATTCGTGCTGAGACTGAGCTCGTTAAGGAGCTCGTTAACTCAAATTACTCTATCAACTCAATGCAAAAAATCGGCCGAGAGACAGCTGGTATCTCAAAAAACTCATTAGTTGGGACACTCGTAAGTCAAGGCCCCACTGTAGTTTGTATGTACAATTAAGCTCGCGAAGAGGCTCTGTCGTGCCTAGAACAACTTGGTATAGAGTGAATAGGTGGTAAGAATTTGTTGACTTGAAGAATTACCTAGAATAAGAAGTAAAGCAGTGTAGATCAATGCTTTCCCCACCTACCCTGGGGATGCAGCTCATCAAATTGCTTCTAATATCTTGCAATAAACAATAGGACACATTGAGTCAAGGCTGAGTCAGAACACAGGATTAGGTGCACTGGGGAGATATTAGAAAGAATATTTCTCTGGAAGAATTTGTAATCTAACTCAGCAGACCATAGAGAGATTCACTGAGAAGTTAATCTCAGTTTGGGATGACTAGATAATAGCCTGGTTACAGAACAATTCTGCCAAAATATGCAAGACCCCACCACTTGTGGGAGCTGCAGCACAATGAGGTGTGTTTCTTTTTCTCCTTCTGAAATTTTGGGTACTTATCCTTTTGAAAATTTTGACTTTTTATGTGGATGACTAGGAGAAAGATATTGGTCATGAGAAGTATTGCCTAGTACTGTTAGTCACCTCAGTGTAAGGGGCTGCCTTGAATTTGAGTATATTTTAGTTAATGAGTAGGATTATTTGTCAGACATTTTCTTGTTCCATACTTGATAGTGCAATCTGTTTGCATAGAGTCCATTCCTGGCTTTCACTGACAGAAATAAAACATTTATTTATTCATTACTTTTTAAAACCATTTACTTGACAATTTCATTCTGCAAAGGATTTTAGACAGTTTACAACATTAACATATATGTAAATCTTATGTGAGGAAAATAGAAATAAAATGTTTAAAACTTAGGATTGTACATAGACAAAATATGTTCTCCAATATATTCTGAATTCATCAAGTCATTTCTCAATTCCACTGCTACCGTTGTAGTCCAAACCCCTATTCCTACTGGCCTAGTTTCTCTCCTGAACTCTACTGTTGCCTCATTTTCATCCATTATTTACACACCAGCCAGAGGATCCTTCAGAAATGTAATCCCAATAATGTAACAACCCCCCACCCCTGCCCAGGCTTAAAAGAATCTATAGGTTCCTTCTTGCATTATGAATAAAAGTCAATTCTGTTAAATATTGTGGTATGGTTCTTGACAAACTATAGTGTATATTGTTCATTTTGAGCTACTCAGTATCCATTCCTCCTTCCTAATTACAAAGTTTGGTGGAAGCATCAATTAGGTACCCTGCCTGCCCTAGGCAAAGGGCAAGCACATCTTAAAAGCGAGATGCTATAAGAATTTGAGCAAAGGGACAAAGAGGTGAAAGTTAGTTCAAATTGATTCATTCAAGAAGTAGAACCCAGACTTGATCATTCCTACTAAAAGGTTATTCTGGACTTCCTCTTCTCTAGTCCTTTCAAGTGTTTTGAATACTGCCTATTTGAAAGCCTTTCAATCAATTAATCAATCATGTGAGCTCCACTATCATTCCCAAAAATTTCACTTTACTTATGTAAACCAGAGTTGGTTGCAACCAATAAACCCTACAGATGCACTGTTTCTCCTGTCACTTGTGTCACTCTCACCTTTTATGACTCTGCCAAAGTCATATTGATCTTTTACCATTTCTTAAAAGAATTCTTGCCTACCTCAGGCCCTTTGTAAATGCTATGTTACCTTTATTCAGATTGTTCTTCCCATGGCCAGTTTAGTTAATCCTTACTCACTCTGAAGATCTTAGTTCCAAGTTATTTCCTCATGGATGCCTTCTTCTAATATCCCTGATTAGCTCAAATTCTCCTACTGGAGGTCTTGCAAAATTATTTTTTGCATCATAATTCTTTTCTTTAAAATTTATCTTTATTGTTGAAAGTGTTACAGATGTCACCTTTATTTTTTCCTATTGACCACCCCCTCCACCCTGAACTCACCCCTTCCAGGTATTCATCACACTATATCACACTATTGTCTGTGTCCATAGGCTATATATATATATATTCCCTGGTTAGGTTAATCTCTCCCCACCCACCCACTCCCACCTCTGCCTTCCTTCTGAAATTCCTCAGTCTGTTCCATGCTTCTATGTCTCTTGATCTGTTTTTGTTTTGCTTTTTTTCAGGTAAAAGAAAAAACTTTTATTTATTAGCAAGTTAGAACAGAGGTGTGAGGGTGTGCGACAGCCCACAAACACACTGCTTGTCCACACAGCCAGGAGCCCCGCCCATAAAAGACAGCAAATAACTTAATCTAAGCTCATGTCTTCCTCTTCCTCCTTCTTGTCCTTCCCATCGCCCTTCTTCTGCTCCGATCTGGCACTGTTCTGCATTGCTTTAGCAAAAGCTTCCACATCACCCTTGTTGACAGCCTCTGCAGGCAGGCCAAACTGGCACATGAGGGGGCCCAGCTGCCCTGAGGCCAAGGCCACACTGAACATTCCCAGGGCCTGCTGGAACTGTGGGGAGGTCGTGTTCTCGATCTCCTCTGCAGTCTGTGGAAGCGACTTCCCAGAGGGCAGGTAGGGTAGCAGGCGCTCCTGGATGTCCGCATTGGCGAGGATAGGTGCCATGATCTCGGGCGTCAAGACACTGGCCATTTCAACTTGCTGGCTGTCTCCTGGCCCGGCCGGCCCATTCATAGTGGGTAGAATTCTCTGGAGGTCGGTCAGCTGGATGGGCTGGCTGCCGTGCTGGTTCCATTACCTGGGTTGGGCATGGGACTCGGGCTGGTCACCGAGGCAGCTGCTGGAGCAGAAGGGGCTGGGGTGGTTCGGGCAGAAGAGGCGGTGGAGGACGGGGTCACCACTGCTGACTGGCTCTGGGAACTGGATGAGGAGCTGTTCACCGGAGGCTCTCCACTCCCCAGTAAGCTGGCCAGGCCTGGGCCAGTCAGGGCCCCCAGCCCACCCAGTCCTCTGAGGCCGGTGGGTCTGATGAGCTGCATGAGCTGGCTGTGGCTCATGTTCCCCAGCAGGCTCTGCAGGCTGCCCTTGCCACCCAGTGCAGACAGCTCATGGCCTCCACTCCCGCTCACCCCCAGTGCTCCGGGCATCTGTGGGTTGTTCAGATACTTGTTGACTTTCTGGCACTGCTCCTCGTCCTGGTCCGCCTTAGGCTCCTGCATCCAGAAGAAGAGCCATTTGGACCCTGCCACTGGTGCACTGCAGCACGTGCTTGAACTCACAGTCATCAGGGAAGATGATCAAATCGTCTTCCACTTTCCCAGACGTCCTGTCTTTCCAGCAGAAGTGAATGAGGGAGTCATCCGTCTGCTGAATGTACACGAGCCCTTTTCTTTTGTCTGGGGTGACAGTTGTTCCTTTTAACGACATTTTTCCTGCCCGAAACTCCACCAAATACTTGTTGGAGGACCCACGGGAGCCTGGCACCAGGCTTGGAAACAGAGCGCCTGAAGTCGCCATCCTGGCCAATGCGGAGATATGTCGGTTGAGATATGTACCGTGCGTGATCACTCTTCTCTGGATCTGTTTTGTTCATCAGTTTATTTTGTTCATTAGATTCCACATATGAGTGAGATCATGTAATACTTACTTTTTCTGGTTTATTTTGCTTAGCATAATACTCTCAGGACCGTCCATGCTGTTGCAAAATTTAAGTGTTTCTTCTTTTTTTACAGCAGTGTAGTATTCCATTGTGTAGATATACCACAGCTTTTTTTTTTTATCCACTCATCTGCTTTGAGGTACTTTGGCCATTTACAGAGCTTAGCTATTATAAATTGTGTTGCTATGAACATAGGGGTGCATATATTGTTTCTGATTGGTGTTTCAGGTTTCTCAGGTTATATTTATAGAAATGGGATCACTGGGTCAAATAGCAGTTCCATTTTTAAATTTTTTGAGGAAACTCCATACTGTTTTCCACAGTGCCTGCATCAGTCTCCATTCCCACCAGCAGTGTACTAGGATTCCTTTTCTCCACATCCTCTCCAACACTTGTCGTTTGTTGATTTGTTGATGATAGCCATTCTGACAGGTATGAGATGATACCTTAGTATCATGTTAATTTGCATCTCTCTGATGATTAGTGACTTTGAGCACTTTTTCATATGTTTCTTGGTCTTCTGTGCGTCTACCATAGTTCTTATTACAGTTGTTATTTTATATTGAGTTGTGTGACTGTTTTCTTTCTTGGCTCTAGATGTTATCTCCAAGAAGGCAGGGAGTATGCTCATTTTGCTTACTGATGCACCTTGGTACATAGGGCAGTGCCTACTTTATGAGACTTCCAATAAATATTTGTTAAATAGGTTAAAGCAAAATTTGCATGGAAATTTAAGCCAAAATATGATCCTTCTAAACAGTTCCTGCTTGTTGCCCATGTAGTTATAGGAAAAATACAGTCAGGAGATTATGCCTATGGAAGTCATAGTCCTGTATTTATTCATTTACTCTTTCCTCCATCTTATCATCCATGTTGTGAACAAAAATGTGTTAAATACCCAATTATTGGGGTTTCAATGATGAATAACTGAGAACAGATAAGTTTTGTATATTAGGTATGTGTTTTTTTCTTATAAATATGACCAGTTACAATAGTAAAAAAAAAAAAAAAAAAAGCTAGCTAGTTATTTGGTATGCTAACAACTGAAGTTTGATGTATTAGTACAAGTTGATCTTTTTTCTCCTGCTGAGATGATTGGTCTCATACAGTCACCAAAATAACCTTCATTGGATTGCTGTTTTTATTTTTACTTTTTAATTGTTTTTCCAAATGCCAAGGCTCTTTATATCAATATTAACGATAAATTTAAAGCTTTCATTGCCTGGTATCCACAAGTATCTCCAAATAACTTGTGTAATATTGTGACAGATGTTTTTGTTTGTTTGTTTGTTTGACCATTTTTATGCTACAGAAGAAATTGTCAATGGCCTTGTTTCTTAAATAACCACACAACATTTTTTGAGAGAGGTGATAAGTAGGGCATCAAATCACAACAAGATAAAGTGCTGTACTCCAAAAGATTGGAAATTACTCATCATTTTAGCATCAGCTTCCATTCATGATTCATTCATTCATTCACTCTCCCTCCCTCTTCCTCTCTCTCATACACAGTCTGACCCTGTTTGTAAACAATTAATATGTTACTCTAAGCTCAGTAATGTTTTAGTTAAAAAATAAGTGATATCTTCTTTGTTGTTAGTCACTTGTCCTAATTAATTCATTCATTATACTACAAAGCTCAGAGATTAAAACTCCGGGCTGGAGAGCTTTATATGAATCCTTTCTTTTTTATCTATTCCAAGTTAGATTAAGTTTAGGTCCTATTTAATGAGGTGCCACTTGCTGGGTTTCCATGCAGAAATAATTTCTCATCCTCAGTGGTATGTATGTACCAAATAAATTATCATTTTTTTTCTGAATTTCCAACTACTGCATCCTGTAGGAAAGACTATCATTATGAGCTCCCTGGGATCTAGGCAGCTGGATTTCTTTGATTTGGATTTTTTCTTTTAATCCAAGTCCCATCTTGTTTTTATTATATTTCGGGGGGGGGGTTATGAAGAGATTTCCAGACAGCATTAAATGTCATGCTATGATGAACATGGGCATGAGGCTGTGGATGCAAAAGAACTGAGTCAAGTTATGGAATTCCCCCCATGCTCTACTTCATTTGTATTCTTTCTGATATAATCTGCTTAAATAAGTGAGCACAGCCACATAATTCCCCCCACAATCCTATTGTATGTGTGTTTATGTGTGTGCACATGTGTGTTGGGGAGTAGTTACTAATGTTTTCTTTTTATGATTGTAAATACATTGTAAATAATTGGATTTCTCTTTAATGCTGCCCTTCTCTGGCTCCAGAATAAAAATGCACACATGAAAATGTTTTCAGTGTGGGCTGCATTCTGTCAAAGACTAGACTCACAAGGCTCTATTGTGACAAGAAAGAGCCATTGTTCTTGCACTACAGAAACATTTATTACTGCTGATGTGATAACAATACTGCTCCCCCATAAACCTACTTGGCTAGACTAGAACTCACTAGCCCCATAGTAAGGCTAGGAAATAGTCAGGGAGCCAGGGAGAAGGAGATAGAAAAATAGAGCAAAGGGGTCAGAAAAGGAGGTAGAGAGAAGTTCCCATGGAAGGCAACAGGACACCAGTATTGCCATCCCATGACACTCAATGGCACCATTCCTGGCCCACTCTAGGCAACCTGGATATTCAAGTCTGCTTATTGGAACAAATGGTAATAACCTACCAGTAATGAGGCCAACATCTTGGGTAGTGTTATCATATGATACAGTTGGCTTGGTATAGAGAAAAAATAGGTTCCACACACTCTTACTTAACTAATAACCAACTTATAAGAAAACCAAGACAACATGTAAATGACAGAGTGCAGCCTGTTACTAACAATTGAAAATCAAATATAGCAGCAGGTTATATATATATATATGATTAAAGTTTATTCTTATAAATTGTAAAAGGATAGATGGATTTTACCAGGTTTAGTATTTTACTATTTTAGAGTTCTGTCCTAGCAATGATATTCTAGAGCAGTGCTTTCCAAACTCTTTCATGCCATGGCGCAAACAGAATATAGATATATTTGTAGCCTCCTTGGGCAACAAGAGGAGGCTGTACATATTGAAAGATACAGGCCCAGGGGCTATAGTGGTACCAGGTCTCACACAACCATCATGAGGACTGAAGTGATCACTATAGGGCAGTGATGGCGAAACTTTTGAGCTTGGCATGTCAGCATTTTGAAAAACCCAACTTAACTCTGGTGCCATGTCACATATAGAATTTTTTTGATATTTGCAACCATAGTAAAACAAAGACTTATATTTTTGATATTTATTTTATATATTTAAATGCCATTTAACAATGAAAAATCAACCAAAAAAATGAGTTCGTGTGTCACTTCTGACACACGTGTCATAGGTTTGCCATCACTGCTATAGGGTTACTGTAATCACTAATTGGGTGAGCTTTATTCTAGAATTCAACAAAATGGAGCTCTACCATTTTATTTTGAAAAAAATTGCAAAGGAATCCTATATAATAAAGAGCTAATATGCAAATGGTTGTCATGCCCTCATGCCATAACAGTTCAGACACTCAACACTGGGGAAAGAGGAATGAGGACCAGCCAAGCTGTGGCCCAGGAGAGGGACAAGCTGCCCACCCTGCAGTCCCAGGCATAAGCGGTTGCATCTATGCCTGTGCCTGTGCCTGCAGCCCTGGGAGAGGGACAAGCTGCATGCCCTGCGGTCCCAGGCGCCAGCAACTAGGGCTGCAGCCAGGGAGAGGGACAAGCTGCCCGCCCTGCAGTCCCGGGTGCCTGTGCCTGGCCAGAGGGAGGGAAGCCAGGTTCTAGATGCCTGTGAACAGCTGGAGGAAGGAATCCTGGGTTCCGGGTGCAGGGTGAAGCAGAGGCAGTTAGGGGCAATCAGGCCAGCAGGGGAGCAGTTAGGAGCAATCAGGCAGGCAGGCAAGCAGTTAGGAGCCAGTGGTCCTGGATTGTGAGAGGCAGTCAAACATCCCCTGAGTGGGTCTGGAATGGAGAGGGTACAGGCCAAATAGTTAGGGGCAATCATGCAGGCAGAGGTGGTTAGTGGTGATCAAGCAGGCAAACAGGCGAGTGGTTAGGAGCCAGTGTTCCTGGATTGTGAGAGGCAGTCGGACATCCCCCAAGGGGTCCCTGATTGGAGAGGGTGCAGGCTGGGCTGAAGGACTCCCCAACCCCTATGCACGAATTTCGCGCACCGGGCCTCTAGTCTACACTAATAAAAGACAAAGATGCTAATTGACTGTACCCCAAGCCACGCCCACCAGCCCATCAGAGCGACTATATGCAAATTAACCCAACCAAGATGGCGGATGGTAGCCATGGAGCTAGAGCAAGCAGGAAGTTTGGTTGCCTGGGCGATGGAGGAAGCCAAGCTTCCCACCGGCCCTGAGCCGGCTGTGGCCTCTGCAAAAGGCAACAAAGTTTCAATTGTAGAAGACAAATAAATCCCAGATACCTGCTTCCAGCCAGCCTCCACTGGGAGCTTTGGTGGCTGGGGGCCATGGCCAGCCTGCAAACAGACATAAACCCCTCACCCAGGATGGCCAAAA